AAAAACAGCCTAAAACGTAATAACATCTGTGAATCAGAAATTTGTATTTATGAAAATGATAAAATTATAACTAACACAACCTTAAGAAGTTTCATCCAAGGAAATTGGGAAACAAAAGGTTTTGAAACCTGAAATAATTAGAAATGGAAAAGGTAAATTTTTTACAAGTACAGAGTATAGAATATAATTGTGTGAGTCAGCAAATAATTAATGCCTACCCTCACCTACCCTTCATCCGTATCTGGTTGAAGCAGCGGGCTGCTCTCATTTCATCTTCAGGGAAGATACAGTCGGAATCCAAACATTTTGAATAACCAATTTCGGTGCTTGAATAATCGAAACTCACTCCCTAAACATTCCTTTCACTTCCCCTCATGGTGATACTTTTACCTTCTTTCAATATTAAATCCATGAAAAAATACAAACATAAGTCTAAGTAGTCACCAACCGTATAACCCTATGTTTCCCTTAATATGACAAATTTCATGTTGACAAATTTCAATGTCTAAGACATCTCATAATGCACAGTGCTGCTACCAAAGTCTTTAAGTCTTTTCCAAAAAGTATAACCCTAAGATGTACCGTTATTAAAGGTTGAGATGTTCATATTCATTTTGTATCTGGTTTAGGTAGGCCGCTGAATTATAAAATGAACAAATCAACAAAATCACATATAAATACTACTGTAAAACCACACCTCGAATCCTACAGATCCAACAATAGGCAAGACACACGTTTTCTGTTAATTTTGTTCTTCGTCGCCTCTACTTTGCTTTAAACTTGGCCCACCAATCTGCATAAAGATGCAGCATTACTTGAAAATTGCTATTAGAAATGAAAAATGCCAGTGATATGTTGGAAGTCTTCAAAGAGAAAGATAATACCTGGGGGCTAAATTGCAAAATGCAAGAATCAAGATTGGGGAGCTGGAGACGGAACCAGAGGAAGGCATCTTCAACCGGAGACGGACGACTTCAATCGAAGAGAGGGACGCTCCACGGGCTGATTTCTGAGACGAAGGACAGGAAGCTGGACCGATTTCTGAGACGGAAGTAACCGGCGAGGGAGCAGGGGCCGCGTACCGTGTTCTTCTCCAACCGGAAGCTCCAGGAGACGAAGCCTAAGAAATTAATTGAGCGAAGAAATTAATTGAGGATGAAGGCAGAAGAAAGGTCTGAACAAATCTGCAGTCTATTAGAATCTGTGGTGGCAAGGAGTAAGCCGAGTCATAAAAAATAATCTGTGTCAGCTGCTTCGTCATGCTCCACGTGTCAACACCACAGCCTAAAAACCCTACTTTATATATACACTAGTATTTGTACCCGTGCAACGCACGGGGTCGAACGCATGTTAATTTTAATTCTGCTAATTTTGTTTTAAGTAAATAATTATAAAATAAAGGTAAATATAATATAGAATGTTAGATACGACATAAACAGAATTGTGAAATAGTTTCTGCATGTGACAAATGCAAGATAATGGTGCAATGGTTTGTGCAAATTAGACTATGAGCGAGTGTGCACAGAGTATTAATATGATTTAAACATACAGACTAAAAGCCTGATTTGATTAGTTCTGTTCTAAATCTATTAAAGTGTTATCTAAATTTTTCTTATTTATGATTGATCTGGTTTGAACTATTATCATTCTAGTAAAGGTTAAAGTTGTTTATGATATGATTCTAATAAGAATAAAGAGAACATGTTCTAAGATGCAAAGTGTTATTTAATGACGTGTATTTAGTGTTGGGTAGTCATTGTGAAGTCATCGGGAAAACTACACAACTCTTCCAATATCAATAAAAGAAGACTGGATAAATGGGCACATTCTTGTTATAGATAAATGTGAGGTACCACCAACCAAACCTAAGTAAATGAGCATACACTTGCTTCCCAAGTTTTGGTCAAACAACAATCAAATGTAGTGTAAAAGGGATTTTTTAAGCCAATTCATCCTCCAGGTACACCACAAAAGGGTAGTTGCTCACCTTGAAAAATACCATTCTTGTAAGGCTAACATTTGTACTTTTGCTGGCACTGAAGCACTTTTTAAGCTGCCCAATCTACTTCCACATGCTAAGTCCGCCATGTAGAATATCTTTTGGCAAAGTTTGCAAGTGCACATTTAGCTGCAAAAAATGGCAGGATCAATATTTTCCATCATTGACGCTATTGACTTTGGAATCAAAATGCCTATGATTTCATTCTTCCCGTTGAGATAGAATTAGTTCCCTTCTGCCTCACATGTTTATAAAGCACAAAAGCACTTCAAAAAGTCTTATTTAATTAAGATAAATAAGAGGTCTCCTCATTTATAATGATTACAGTCTGGTCATTATGTTACTTCTAATGTAGTCATAAAAAATGGTTCTTCATTTCTCTACTGATTCTAATACAATGTAGCTGTTGAAATAATGCCAACCCCAATGATGGTGGTGAACATATTCAGCCTTGAGGCCCACATTTTATTTCTACTGCCCAGATTTTGTTTCCTAGTCTACACAAATTCCAACTCTCCAAAAAACAAAATTTGAAATCAGTTGAAACTTATCTTAATTCAGGGAAACAATGTGTTTGCTGATTTTGAATAAAAGAATCATATGGCTTCAATCTTGTTTTGAGACAAAAATCTGAACAACACCAAGTGTGTATTTTCAGCAGTTTTTTAGGATAATAAATATAGTGTAAAGCCAGTATGTTTTTAATGTAGTATAAAGCTAGTATGTTTATAAAGCCAATATAAATCTATTAAGCTAGTATGTTTACAAAGCCAGTATACTCCAACATTTAGAATGTCTAGTAAAAAGCTAGTATGTTTATAAAGCTAGTATAAAAGTAGTATGTTTATAAGGGCAGTATACTCTAAGATTTAGAAAATGCAGTATAAAGCTTGAATGTTTATAAAGCAAGTATAAAGCTACTATAAACAAGTTTATATCTATGGCTGAATTTTCTCTACCACAAAAGTTTATTATTTTTATTGTTTTTCCAATGTTGGTTGTTAGCTTGGAGTGTGATTAGTACCTATTTCATCCAAGTCATATTTTCTAAAAAATGAGGTTTTTGCCAAGAACCGTTATCTTATAACTCTCTTGAAATGTTAAAAAGGCATTTTAATTCCCCTACACTTAGGTTCGTTGCTAATAAAATGATCAGCACTTCCCCGCTAGCTCTAACGCCCTCTAAGTGCTAAATATTTCTTCGGGGTTAGTGGGAAAGTCATTACCAAATGGAAGAAACGTAATAATTGGGTTGCATGGTATCGTAACAAATGGCTCCTTATCTTTGAGAAAGAGAGGATATGGTTAAGAAGACAACTTAAGAGGATGAGATGACTAAGCATGGTAAAAGCAAAGGAAATTTACATAAGATAAGCAACAACTATGAATTCCATGCCTTCTTTTTTTGTTGGAATACAATTGGTCCACTTATGTTGCAGCTTGTAAATGAAATTTTAGTACACACTTGCAACGATAGATGCGAAGCCCAGGCTATATGTTGATTGAAACAAATCTCAGGTTCACTACGAAGTCTCTCATTCACCGATTCCAAGTGCTAATTTTGCCTACATATATCCTTATAAGTAAAACCAAATATGGATATAACAAAAAACAATGTTACTTATTACTGTAAATTTACGCATCCAGTTATAAACATGGAGCATGCCTACTGGTGTACATACAATGTACATAAGCAAGTAGCATCCACAAACACATTGCTTTGCTACATCAAAGGTAAAAAAATCAAAACCATATATTTGCAAGTGAGATGAAAACTTCACAAAACCATAGGATTATACTGTAGGCTATAAGAGGCTCTAAGAATAACCTTTGAGTATTACATACCCTCAACTTTGTTACCATAACAAACTGAAACAGATTAAATTGACAGAAGAAAAATGAAGGAGCTGATTCAATGTGCTTGGTTGATAAAAAAATTACAGTTCATAAGGTACTCTCTTTTCGTTAGCCAACCCCAATTTTTTCATATCAATCTCTACAGTTCGAAATATTTTATTAGAAAATTGAATTCATACACACAATTGATATCAAAACCCTTTTTTTTTGGATTTCACTTTCTCTGTTCGGATTTAATCTTTCTATTTTGACTTTTTCTCATTTTTACTATGGTGGATTTGTACAAAACATTCATACGAAAATATCGAATACCTGTTAAACAATAAAAATAAATTCCATCAAAGTTGACCTAAGGAAGCAACGCCATTTTTCTAGCCACAAAGAAAAGTCACATACAACTTAAGTGATGTGGGCTCCTTACGCACTGAGATTTATTTGCCCTGAGATTGAGGTTGCATATGTTGGGGAAGAGAGAATTCTAAAGGCGTGTCTGTCATAGTTTAACGGTAGATTACCTTAATACCTTTGGCAAATATAAAACTCCAGCCTCCAACATTATTTAGGGGACGCTTGAGAAAAACAGCTTAAAACGTAATAAGATTTGTGAATCAAAAATTTGTATTTATGAAAATGATAAAATTATAACTAACACAACCTTAAGAAGTTTCATCCAAGGAAATTGGGAAACAAAAGGTTTTGAAACCTGAAATAATTAGAAATGGAAAGGGTAAATTTTTCACAAGTACAGAGTATAAAATATAATTGTGTGAGTCAGCGAATAATTAATGCCTACCCTCACCTACCCTTCATCCGTATCTGGTTGAAGCAGCGGGCTGCTCTCATTTCATCTTCAGGGAAGATACAGTCGGAATCCAAACATTTTGAATAACCAATTTCAGTGCTTGAATAATCGAAACTCACTCCCTAAACATTCCTTTCACTTCCCCTCATGGTGATACTTTTACCTCCTTTCAATTTTAAATCCATGAAAAATTACAAACATAAGTCTAAGTAGTCACCAACCGTATAACCCTATGTTTCCCTTAATATGACAAATTTCATGTTGACAAATTTCAATGTCTAAGACATCTCATAATGCACAGTGCTGCTACCAAAGTCTTTAAGTCTTTTCCAAAAAGTATAACCCTAAGATGTACCGTTATTAAAGGTTGAGATGTTCATATTCATTTTGTATCAGGTTTAGGTAGGCCGCTGAATTATAAAATGAACAAATCAACAAAATCACATATAAATACTACTGTAAAACCACACCTCGAATCCTACAGATCCAACAATAGGCAAGACACACTTTTTCTGTTAATTTTGTTCTTCGTCGCCTCTACTTTGCTTTAAACTTGGCCCATCAATATGCATAAAGATGCAGCATTACTTGAAAATTGCTATTAGAAATGAAAAAATGCCAATGATATGTTGGAAGTCTTCAAAGAGAAAGATAATACCTGGGGGCTGAATTGCAAATTGCAAGAATCAAGATTGGGGAGCTGGAGACGGAACCAGAGGAAGGCATCTTCAATCGGAGACGGACGACTTCAATCGAAGAGAGGGACGCTCTCTTGAAATGTTAAAAAGGCATTTTATTTCCCCTACACTTAGGTTCGTTGCTAATAAAATGATCAGCACTTCCCCGCTAGCTCTAACGCCCGTTAAGTTCTAAATATTTCTTCGGGGTTAGTGGGAAAGTCATTACCAAATGGAAGAAACGTAATAATTGGGTTGCATGGTATCGTAACAAATGGCTCCTTATCTTTGAGAAAGAGAGGATATGGTTAAGAAGACAACTTAAGAGGATGAGATGACTAAGCATGGTAAAAGCAAAGGAAATTTACATAAGATAAGCAACAACTATGAATTCCATGCCTTCTTTTTTTGTTGGAATACAATTGGTCCACTTATGTTGCAGCTTGTAAATGAAATTTTAGTACACACCTGCAACGATAGATGCGAAGCCCAGGCTATATGTTGATT